CATCTCGGCCACGCTCAGCCACGGCGGCCGATTCATCCAGTACAACATTTTCGGCAACATTTTCGAGGTCACCTCCAAATACAAACCCCCAATCATGCCAATTGGAAAGGGCGCCTACGGGATCGTGTGGTAAAATTTTCAATTTTTAGGGTTTCTTGATTTGTTGCTTGATTTTTTTTTCAAATAAATGATTGGGTTTCAGCTCGGCGTTGAATTCGGAGACTGGGGAGCAAGCTGCGATCAAGAAGATTGCGAATGCTTTTGATAATAAGATTGATGCGAAAAGGACATTGAGGGAGATCAAGCTTTTGAGGCACATGGATCATGAAAATGTTAGTGATTTTTTTAAAAATCTATATATATTCGTTGTGTTCGTTATCCGGCTGATTTTGAATACGAAGAAAATCTAATACAAAAAAAAGGTTGAGCTTTTATGGATTTTAATTAGGTATTACTTGACTTCATTTCATGGGAAATGGTTGCTTTTATTCACATTTCACTCACATAAGAACTTATAGATTATAATCTAGAGGATCTGGCCACGGCTTGCAATGTGATAATATGAGCTGCATGGTTTTTATGCTTGCCATTTGACAGCAGAATTGGCTGTCGTAGCAACAAAATTCTATTATAGTGTCATACAATTATTGAGAATAATGTTATTTTTAGGCTAAATAGCACTTGTATACCCTAGCGTCACCTAGTCTTCATTTATATACCCCAACCTGTACTTGGCAGCAAGAAAATATCTCAAAGTTTTTTAAACTTGCACTTAACATACCCTCTCTTTTTTGGCGGCACTTAAATACCCTAAAGTTTTTACAATTGGCACTTAAATGCCCTAAAGTTTTAACTTGGACATAAATACCCTCAGTTATACAAACTTGAGGGTATTTAAGTGCAAGTTTTTTTTTAAATTAGGGTATTTAAGTGCCGGTTTTAAAAAGTTTAGGGTATATAAGTGCTATCAAAAACAAGTGAGGGAATATAAGTGCAAGTTTAAAAAACTTTGGGGTATTTTCTTGCTACCAAGTATAAGTTGGGGTATATAAGTGAAGAGTAGGTGACGATATATAAGTGAAAAGTAAGTGGAACAATAGGGTACAAGCGCTAACAAAATATCTTCCGAGACATGGTTTTCATCTAAATCAAACTTTTAAGATCCCCTACTTTCCAGTTACACAAAAATGATAGTATTGCAAAATGCTCTGCTTAGCTATCTATATACATCATGATTTTTACTGTACCGTATTTGATTGAGTAACTTGTTCATTTGACCAATATAACCGTTACCAATTCTATCGTTTTATTTTCCTTACAGGTTGTGGCAATCAGAGACATAATACCACCTCCAGTGAGGGACTCATTCAATGATGTCTACATTGCGTATGAGTTAATGGATACTGATCTGCACCAAATCATTCGCTCCAATCAACCTTTATCAGAAGAACATTGTCAGGTTGTCGTCTTCCCATAAAGAGCATGAAAGGATGCACATGCGAATCATGTTTGATATTTTCAATATAAAGTTACTTCTCATGAAAGAAAGGTTGATCATATACGTGCATTTACTAATGAAAATTCAATTTTAAATGCTACTGCTATTTTTGTTCGTGTGAACTGTGGTTGTTTCTCTTAAAGAATATTGGTTAGGGTGAAAATAGACATGACTTGTACCCTGGAAACCAATTCAGGAGCTCTGTATTATTTTCGAATTAATAATTAGGTTTCTAGTTGGGCCAAAAAGTGATTAGTACAGGTAGCAGGACCTTCATAATAAAGACCAAGAAAAGAACAAGTAGACGCATGTAACTTAGTTGAGCGTTGATTCGGTCAGGATGAACTTTCTAGAAAGATCACCTGATGATTCTCTCTCCTTAATTTGAATTAATAGGCTGTAGTGAAGAGTATCACAAAATCTTGACCATGTATATTTAATGAGGGGAAAATGTAACATCTAATTCATCTTTAAATCAGTGAAGAAGGATGCATATTTTTTAGAGATTTTACAGGTAGAAAATTAGACCCTTTTCCATCTCCTCACTGCTACGGTTTCTGATTATGGTTTTTTCAATTGGTCAGTTTTAACTTCTGTCCCCATAAAGTAACTTCGAAGAGGTGAGTAAAATAGTCAACATCTGAAAATGACGCCTTGCCAAATTCTTAATTATCGGTCTACCTCTAGTTTCTACTTACTATTTAGTCTAATAAGTTCTGCGACATTCATCATGCTGACTAATGTAAACATCTTTCTTCTTGTAACGTTTTCTCTACATTATGAAACAATTTAGTTGGATTTTTTTGGACATATATACATTTTTTCACCTAATATTTAAGTTCTATAAAAGTTTAATACTGTTTCACACACTTTATATGAAACAATTAATCTCTCCTTTCTTCCTCTGCAGTATTTTCTCTATCAGATCCTCCGTGGCTTGAAATATATACATTCAGCAAATGTCCTTCACAGAGACTTAAAGCCAAGCAACCTTCTCTTAAATGCAAACTGTGATCTGAAGATATGTGACTTTGGGCTTGCTCGGACTACTGCTGAAACAGACTTCATGACAGAATATGTTGTTACCAGATGGTACCGAGCACCAGAACTATTGTTGAATTCTTCAGAGTACACGGCAGCAATTGATGTTTGGTCAGTTGGATGTATATTTATGGAACTTATGGACCGAAAACCTTTATTCCCTGGAAGAGACCATGTTCATCAGCTACGTTTGCTCATGGAGGTGAAAATATCCGTCCCATATTGTTTATGAGTAATTAATATCTATCTAGAAATCTCACCTGCCACATTAAAACATTCCTCATGTTTTCACTTCCTTAATTTTCTCTATTACAATGTGTGTTTTATCCATATGCTTTATGATAATGTTACAATGATGCCAAGTCACCCTAAGTAAACTATCATGTTTTCCCCCCCTTAAAGAATGTCTATAAGTGATAGATTACTTTGTGCTGGTTGTGATGAGTCCTCTCCCAAGCTCATGTCATTTGTGTCTTCTGTGTGCTCTTCATCATTTTCTTCATCTCCGAATGCCATTATTATAATTTGGTTCTTTGTTGATTAACAAATGATTGTTTGCTTTGCTTGTCATGAGCCTTATTTTGTATTTTTTCATGAGTTTTACCAACATTCAAGAATGATCACTATTCATTGGTAACCTTTACGCAGATTCACTCCAAACTATTATATGAACTCTGTTGGGAGTTTCTTACCTTTCTGGGTTACAAAGTTCCAACAGTGAAGTTGCTTTAGGTTTCATTACATTCTCATATTCTTTTGGCTTGTTGGTAACCATTGAAGATGATACAGTGATGATAAGAAAGAAATGTTAAATCACATGTTAGAGCGAGTGTATTAAATAAATTGCTCCAACTTTCCTGTGGTCGTTGGCATTTGACTGTCTCAGGGAATTTATGATTAAATTTAATGCATATTCAGGCCGCTGCCAAATTGATTAGCTTACATGTATTGCATGTCTTAAACTTTGCCTCCATCCATGTTCAGATTAAGGTAACATGTAAAGCAGTATGCTTGCTTGAATGTAGTACCTACAACAGATTCTACATTTAGATTTCTGAACATTCGTGTTATTAATTCTTCAATTTTAGTAATTGGTAAGGGATAAAATGCAGCTCATTGGGACCCCAGATGAGGCTGACTTGGAATGTGTGAATGAAAATGCAAAAAGATACATCCGACAACTTCCTCCTCATGCACGGCAATCATTTCAGGAAAAGTTTTCCCATGTTCATCCAGCAGCTATTGATCTTGTTGAAAAAATGCTGACATTTGATCCTAGAAAGAGAATTACTGGTGAGCTCGTTATCTTATTTCATGTTGATACCATCTATGTCCCTTCGTTGTCAGTTGTCAATATGTGATTTGAAAATATACATGTGCGGATGTTCTTTTTTATTTTTTTTTATTTTTTGCTGTAGACAATATGTGGGTCCTAATCTAACAGTTTAAGCTTTTAGTCAATTGTAGACGAATGTGCAGAACAGTGGGCTTAATCAAAAAAATTCGCCCTTTAGGGTTCAAATAGAGCAGTAAACATCGCTTTTTATCTCCATATATATGCCATCTTCCAAGTGTAGAACAGTATGTGCTCTCTTTAACGTGAGTAGCATGTATAGCTGTTTGACTTAAATAGTATATGCTGCAGTGCCCAACAATTCAAAATTGTGATGTAAATATTTACCGATAGAAACTGAAAGTTACGTTACTGTATAAACAATACCTTGTTGTGGTTAAAACGGCCATAATTGTCTCGTGTTGACAATATTTAGGTGTTAAAAGCAAGAATTTCATAAAATCCAGGTACTACTACACACGGTTATGCATCTGCATAAACCATGTTGCAGCATATCTGTTAATGCTGCAAATCATGTCAAGAGATTTAGGATACATCTCTACCAAATTATACAATTTTTGTTGTCCTAACACCAGCATTAACATGATATGCTGCAGCACGGTTATGCATCTGCATAAACCATGTTGCAGCATATCATGTTAATGCTGCATATCATGTCGAGAGATTTAGGATACATCTCCACCAAATTATACCAACTATAACTTCATATTTAGATACCTAAGTGTCCCTTAAGGATACTCTTGCACATGTGTATGGGATTCTGTAGCATAATGGCACTATGAGATAGCCTTCTCAAAAGAGAGATAGGCTGTTTACATACTCATTGAGGAACCAAGATCACAATTATCATCTAAAGCTAATGCTTTCCAGAAGTTGCCTTTGTTTCTACATATTCTTGTTTGTTAAAATTCTCATGTGTATTCTTTTTCACATCAGTTCACTTAAACCTTCTGATGCATCATTTGCATACATTCTGCCCCTCCTGTCGTGCTTTTCTAAGATTTTCCCCTCAATTTTAGAAATTTGAAAGTTCTAGGCATAATTGCACTTACATATCCTATAGTTTCCCCCTTTTTGCACTTACATACCATTAATTGTTTTTGGCAGCACTTACATACGGTAAAGCTTTTAAATTTTGCACTTAAATACCCTCAATTATGCAAACGTGAGAATTGCCTCTGAAAATTCTCATGTGACATTCACATGCTAATTTTAGAAAATTTTAGCTCTTAATAATTATTAAATTTACTGTTAAACCTATAAAAATGCTATTTAACATAGAATTAAGGTGGGTTTAAAATTGACTTATGATGGTTTTAATAGTAAATTTAACAAAACTTTAGGGTTAAAAGATCTAACTGGCATGTGAGTGTCAGTGTGAGAATTTCGCGTTTGCATACATGAGGGTATTTAACTGCAACTTTTATAAACTTTAGGGTATATAAGTGCTGCCAAGTCAGGGTGTATAAGTGCAAAGTAAGGGAAACTATACTGTATTTAAGTGCAATTAAGCCAAGTTTTAATAGGAAATTTTTCTGTAGTCAACCGGAGTTTCATTTTCCTGTCATATGTCTAGTGGCGTCCTTTATTCAGAGTTTAGAGATGTTACACTTGCATTCAAAGAGGATTCGAAACAAAGGCTTTCTTGTTCATAATGGACAATATTGTGATTATTTTTTGGTTGATCCTTATGTGCATCTTTCCTTTCTGTTTGCAGTTGAAGAAGCTCTAGCACATCCCTATCTCACATCTCTGCATGATATCAGCGACGAGCCAGTATGCACAATGCCCTTCAGCTTTGACTTCGAGCAGCATGCTTTATCAGAAGAACAAATGAAGGAGCTCATTTACAGGGAGGCCCTTGCTTTCAACCCTGAGTACCGGCAATAAGAAATTGTCTGCTCCTACTTACTTTCTTCACATTTAGTTTGCGTAGTTTTTGTGTATCCTGCCCACTTTTGACTCCTTGATGTAAATACGTGCATCAAAAAGCCCATTCGCCTTGTTTATTCAAAGGGCATGTGGCACCTTGTGAGATTCAAGGGTTCTTAGGTGGCTGCGTGTGCTTTTGTGTATTATTTGCTGATATTTATTTCGATTAACCATTCTAAGTGTACGAGATTGGTAAAAGAATCATGTAAGTTGTATGCGAGTCAATGACCTAATTGATCAAATGGACAGTGTAGAGTTTTATTTCGTAATCTGGAGTTCTGTTTCTTAAACATCTGTTGTTATTTTTTGAACCATTGAAGTGAAAGTGTTTGGTTGTCATACTTTGCACTGAGTGTCTCCTCAAAATATGTGTATTGTCTCACTTGAGAGAAGAAAATTAATGTACTTCCCTTTCTAGCTTGATCAATGATTAAACGGAGGCATCGTTACCAAAAAAAGGGGTTAGTTCAGCTGAGTGGAGCTCCAATTGTACACGAGGTTTCTTGAATATTTTGGCAAATTTGTCGTGCCCTTCGTTTTCTACCCTGTGCCCTTCGTTTTCTATCCTGTGCCAGCACTTGCTCTATCATCATCTGAAAATTTTCCAAGAAAATGGGATTAGTTAAGCTGAGCGCAGCCTCATACTAGGTTATGCGAGCTCATAGGCTTTCTATAATTTACCAGTGACTTATATCCATTCTTTTCACGAATGGATTATTCACAAACTGGTATATGATGAAATTACACTAGTGACTTATGTAGTTACACCATACCTCAGGGTAGATGAAACATTCTTTGACAAGTAATATTCGCCCTGGGATTCTTACAGAACAAGCCTGTGAGACCAAGAAAATTCAATGAAGCACCTAAGTTGTATTCAAATCTAACGGAGAAGTTAGGCATTGGAGGTTCTTTTCTATGAGCGATTACGGTTCTGCTGAGATGAGAAGATCCCAGTAATTTGTTTACTGCTTTCACCAGGACTTCAAAAAAATAATATTCATTTAAACCACCTGGATAGAAGAATTCGCAAGGTGATCCCACCACTGATCTAAGCTTGGAGATCAAACAATCCAGAACTCCTATTGCAGATTCACGATGCATGACAAAAATTCTTAAAAGATTGTAATCTACAAGACTAGTATCAACTACCAATAATGTAAACTGCTAGCCACCAATGTAATTTCCACAAATTTGACTATGAAGGCAGGAGCCCCTTTCTCAATGGTAATATGGGACTAAACCAAAACATGATATACACCACACCAGAATCTAGCAAATTTACAGCCAAACAATCTAAGATATTTAAAGATTTATACAACCTGACTACTAAACTCGCAGCACAAACTTTTCCAGAACAGCTTTTATATATAAATGATAAACAGAGAGAAGGGAGATCTCACGACAGACATATCAAATGATAAATGCACACTTGTTACTAAGAAACTGAATGTAACTTTGTTAGAAACCGCCCAAATAAGTTGCAAGATAAAGAAGTATATGACAACCTTAAATAACTGATACATGAAATAGCAAGGTGTTCAACTTTAAGAAATGCAATATACAGGGTACAATGTAACAGCATCCAAGGATTGAACTGCCTGCAGTTCTCAAATACCACGTTCCATTCACTTTAAAAGCAAAATAGGGTCTAGAGTATCACAACAGATGAGTTATTAAACCCATGAACTCTCATAGTCATCATGCACCACTGGCATATAGACGGGTCCATTCCTTTGCTGAAAAAGCACAATAATTACATGATTAACATACAAAAAAACTTAGGTACAAAAATCTTTTTAAGAAATAAAAAGTAATCGGATAAGTGTTCTTTATGGGGAAAAAAACAGACATCTGGAAACAATGACCTTGAAGTCGTTCTAAAACAATAAACCTGATATAATATTACCTGTTTCTACAGCTTCAGCTTCATTTGCTTTCCAATGCTTTGCAATGTTGTCTGAAAGAGGATCATCTGGGTTTGGAGCGCTCAGTAGTGCTTGAATACTGACTCAAGAAAACAATAAATTATAAAACATAAATTTAGCTCAGTATAACATAAAAATTTGAAAAAACCCATTTAATGTCACAAAACAATTATAAAATATAGTTTAGAAATGAACAATGTTACAATGAACAATGTTACTTCAACATGCATCAAGACAAATTGGGGACAAACAATCATTTCGGACTTTTCTGAAGGCATTATTCTCACTGATCCCAAACGAATGTAAAAGTGAACAGACAGAAAACGACAAAATTTGAAGGACAAATTGGGGATAAACAATGATTTGGGACTTTTCTGAAGACATTATTCTTATACTGATCCCAAGTGAATGTAAAATTGAACAGAAAGAAATTGACAAATTTTGAAGAAGGGCAAAGAGCAAATAGACAATATTCAAAGAAAAGAAGAACCAGCTTATGAAGGATTAGCTTATAAAGACATCCTTGAGAATCATGTGCATCTTTATCTTTATGCCGATTTAAAAAAGGAATTTTCACTTGCGACTTCCTTCTCCTGAGAAGATGCCAACTAGGTAGAATGTTATAAGAAACAGCAATCACAATACAGTGACAAGGATCAGTTTACAAATAAAAGATTGGTGCAATTTAACTTAATGAGAATCTATCATCGCCTCTAAACAGTACACAACTTCGTTGCAAGGTTCATACAGAAAAAACAAAAAACAAAATAGATGCATCACCTTAGCAGTACTGTTCGAATCTGCAAAGCTGGACTCCACTTGTCTTTAAGAATATCGAGGCATATTCTTCCAAGCTGCACACAATAAATTATATTAGGAAAGAAATAATTTTTATGCTCCAAAAGATTTGAGAAAGATGAAAGAAGTGCTTGCCTTGTCAATATTAGGATGGTAAATTTTGGTCAAAAATCGAACCTGTTGAAGGGGACATCAAAAGAGCGAAAAGACAGTTCAGCCGTGACGAAGACTAAAGAAAAACCATAAAAGTACTCAAAATGAAATATCAACGCTAACAATTTTCTTGGTTTATTACTGTGATGCTTGAAAATGAATAGATCCTATTATTCTATATAATAATTGGCTTGCTTGTGCATGATCCTTAAATCATGTAAAAAAAGTTTAACAAATAAATAAAGAGGTGAAAAATTTATTGTACTTTAACTTGATGCAAGAATACAGTGAAATAAAGGGACTCTAAATGCAGTGACATGTAAATTTTGCACAGTTTAGACGTGACAGACTAAAGAAAAGCATTAAAAGTACTCAAAAGGAAATATCAACCCTAACAATTTTTTTGGTTTATTACTGTGATGCTTGAAAATGAATAACTACTATTATTCTATATAATAATTGGTTTGCTTGTGCATGATCCTTAAATCATATAAAAATAGTTTAACAAATAAATAAAGAGAAAAAAAATTTCTTGAAGTTTAACTTGATGCAAGAATACAATGAATTAAAGGGACTATAAATGCAGTGACATACTGACATGTAAATTTTGTGCACGAAATTTTTGCATACTTAGGAATTTGTGCCACATTGATAACTAAATTAAGCATATAAAAGAAAGATGCAGATCAAAACCCTATTAACTATTATGCGCCAAAGGTAAAACGGACAAAGAGGAGAAGGGAACTAGAAGAGGAGAATGTTTTCGTGCAAACATTTCAATTCAAATTGAATAAAAGAACAGAAAACAACTATGTTCCATGAGTACTAGGTTCATGTGCCAGGTACACAGCAACTTTGTAAACGTTAGGGTATGGGGACATGGCTATATAAGTATGTATATACACATATATTATATATTGGAATTAATAATTTATATGAGAACAAGCATGAGAATTAAAATCCTACAACATTTTTTATGTTTCTTTTATTATGTGGATTATAAATTGGAAAATCACCAGTTTTTGAACTACACATCCAAACGGCCCTGCACAATCATGATTTTTGAACCTAACTTGCGTTCAACGAGTTACAAGAAGTGGATGTTTAGTGTAGGATATATGTCAAAAAAAATTATGACAAGTGTTTTAAATTAAAACATGTCTTGTATAACTGAGTAAATGCCCGAATAAGTGTATGCATATAGCAAGGAGTGTCCAAGTAGTTGGGCACAGGTACGTGCCGAGGTAACATAGGAAAACAACAACTTGAATCCGAAACAATGTCGATTCAGGTGGGTCATCAATCGACTATGAAGAATAAGATAAGTAAGAGTTGTTAGCCAACAACCTACTAGGTCAGTTGAGGACAATATTGCAGGATAACTGCTTTTCTACCAAACCTTATTTTTTTCATAGCATGTCCAGTTTCATTTCAAAAGCATTCCATTAGGCATTGCTGTGATTAATAATGCACAATTGACCAAAAAAATATGTATACAAATTAGTTAAAGATTTCACATTAGGGTAGATTCGTGAATAACAAGAATGCTAAAATAAATTACTTATTAGAGTAAAAATGTTTAGATAACTTAAATATTGAATGCATGGATTATGTATTTGTACCATGCTTTTGAACAGATTGATTATGGGTGTGATTTCAGTTCCCTACTTGTATATAAATTAGAAGTTATTTCAGAAATTCAGCTTCAATGGACGAGCTGTTTACTCCAAGTTCACAAGCAACAGAGAAGGAAGAATCATGATGTGCATCAGCACATGTTTTCTGATACTTTGTGCACAGCGATTTCTCATGAGGTAAAAAGCAATCTTAACATCTAAAGTACCACGATCGCTTATCTTGGACAATGCAGAGAGCAAAAAAGAAAAAAGAAAAAAAGAAAACATGTCACTATCAGCTCTCACCTTTGGGGCAGCCATTGGATACTCTTCAGGCAAAAATAACTCGAGCTTGAAAACACCTCCTGCATGCACAGAAAACAGAAGGATGTCCTATTAGAGGAGATTCAATTATGTACTATCTGATTTTGAACTGTAGAAAAAGTTGATGGTCTCTGAACTAATCTAGCTCATGTTTCAGTAAAAAGTTAAAAAAAAAAGCATGCTAACTGAAATGCATTTGCTTACAAGTATGCAACTATTTACAGAGTAGAAACATACAGCAACATCAATAAAATAATCAGTACATATTATGTCACAAACCACCACTATATATCAGATAGTAATCAGAGACAGGTTAACATGATAATAGCTAATATGACAGGTCTGCATGATGATAGCTAATATATAAATATAATGGAACATCTTGAAGCATAGAAAGTTGCCAACAGAATCCACCTACCAGATAAATCAAACAATGCCGTAAAAAGATATCCTAGGCAGCCACCTAGACATTAGGCAAACCCAAGGGCCCCAGGCAGAGTCTGACAAGTTAAGCAACTCAAACTATGTTGTATGGGCATAGATACAGGGAAAGGGACATGATATACTGACACACGTAAGTTCTAGAACTAATCAAATAATACACACAACACATATGGACACGCTTTGACATGACATGATACAGTATCCTACTACAGGTATCCATGCTACTTGCTACACTAGCCAAAACATGTGATGAATGTTTGAGTTGTGCATGCCACTCTTTTGGTGACGTTTAGTTTGCTTGACTACTAATTTTTGTGAAGCTGAAATCTTTTCGACTGGCATTCCTTCTGTTAAACAATCACAACATAAGACCAAAGTTCTAATTATGAAGAATTCATGACATTGACACGTTAACAGAATTTCAATTCAGAATCTCAAATTTGATGTTGTGTAAAGAAAGCATGAATTGCATGCTGCAAAAGGAGAACTCCATTCAGTTTGGGGACCTATGGAAAAACATTAGGGATAAGAGTTTGCTTTCATGCAAATAAACACTATTAGTTAGCTCAAAGCTATGGTTACAAATTTACAATAAGCATGGTAATAATTGTCTTGCCTTTGCCCCATGCACGAGGCCTTTTGTGACATGCTTTGGACCTTGACCTTACCAAACACCAGTCGACATACTTTTGAGTTTTCGAGACAAGTGTACTATCACCGTATACGGTCATGAGGTCCTAGAGTCGTTCTTTGCTCATGAAGGATAATTTTGGAGATAACAATCTCCAACTGACTACGACATAGATTCACCTCATAACTGCTCTCTACAAAAATTTATGGCAAGCGAGAATGTCCATTTCATATTAGTTTGCTTGGACAGAAATTGCACACCAACTTAAAAGATGACCGTCTATCATGAATATTCAATGAAGCCCTAAGCAAGGTAGCAGTTTCTTCTGACGGAGAAAGGTTAAGTTGATACGAAATGCCAACCCTTTGTAAAAATAATGCAAAACATCTCATTTAGGGAAACAAACCATATCCATTAACTTATAAATCATATACTCCCTTTAAAAGCACGAGTTCGGGAAAATCTTTCTATGGTCAATATTACCCTTCATTATTTTAAATATTTTATTTATATCTTAATCTATCCTAATCATAATTATATCTTATCCTAATTCTACGTGAACTATCTATAGCTTTACAATTTAAAAAACAATATTAAGAAAATATATAAAACATCTTCATGATATTAGTTTGTTAAGATAAAGAAATTATACGTAGCTAACGTACTATAATACATAAAGTATTGCAAAAACACCTAAAAAGTTATAAAATTGCACAAAATATCCTGAAAATTTCAAAATTATAAAAACTATCCCAACGTCTAAAAACTGAAAACAAGAAACATGAAATTAAAAAATTAATAGCAGTTTGCGAAGAATTTAAAATTTACGGTTAACATCTCAATATCTCAAAAATTATAGAAACACCCTCAAAAGTTCAAGTTACAAACAAGCACCTAAAATTCTAAAATTTTAAAACTTACAAACAACATAGATGAATTCAAGGAATTACCATAATACACCTGAAAATTTCTGACATTTCAAAACTTAAAACAACAAATATGAAATCAATAAACTAACAACAGCCTCCGAAGAATTTAAAATTTTTAATTAACACCCTCAATGTCCCAAAAATTATAGAAACACACTCAAAAATTTAAATTATAAAAAACGACCCTAAAATTTTAAATTTTACAAACAACAAAAGATGAATCCAAGAGATTACCCTCATGCACCTAAACTTTTAAAGTTTACCAAAATTAACCTAAAAGTTATAAAAGTTGTAGAAAAAACTCTTTCAAAATTTGAAAATCGTAAAAAACTCTAAAATTTTAAAATTTATAACCAGTACACATCAAATCTGGACACTATTGGTGGACCGCTGAAATTTGAATATTTCAAAAATTAATCTACAGTTTTAACACTTGCAAAAAGTAGCCTCAAATTTTCAAAATTGTAAGAAATATCGTGATATTTAAAAATTACCACCGACACATGAAACATAGAAGTTACAACTACCAAACTTAAAAGTAATTTTTTAAAAATGCTCCTAAAGTTTTAAAAATTATAAATCCCACCCTCAAATTTCAAAATCACAAAAAATGCTAAAATTTTAAAACTTGGCTAAGAAAAGTATAATTGTTAGGTATTTTTTCATTAAGATATATATATATATATATATATATTTTAATTTAGGGTTCACTATTCCTTTTCAGCATAAAGATAGTCTAAGTTGATACTGGTAAACAAAAACAATAAGAATTAATTAAAAATATTCAGTTAAGGAATAAAAATTTAAAAAATATTATAGCTTAAAATTAGTTACCATATAAATTAAAGTAACTGCATAAAATTTTACTAATAAGTTGGAGCAACAAAACACATTAGTAACATTAATTGATCGATGTTTAAATCCATAAAAATGATAAAAAACTATAATATAATAGCTTAGCATTAATTGATTATAATTTAGAAACATTAATCTCTGATGTTAATAATATTTATAGAATAAAAGAATACAATTTACATATGGAGAAACTAAAAGAATACAATGAATTACGTATGGAGATACTATCAGAATGTTCAAAGATATCATTCAAAAGAATCAAGCTATTTCTATTGTAAATGGGAAAGTGATGAAATTAAATCTAAAATTCAGAAAACGTCCATGAATCATTTGAATTGGCATTAACATAAAGCATGTCTATTAAATAAGCACCAACTGAGTTATACTGAAGAATAATTTAATAACTTTATCTCAATCAAAGAAGAATTCTCCATGGAAGATATAAGAAAAATTAATAAGCATTCATAAATTTCATACTTTGTTCTTCAAATACTAAAGATATTAATTATTAATATTATAATCTAAGGTAAATTGGCAATAAAAAATACAGGTATTTAGTTTAGATCTTTGTGGAAAATAATAGGGATAAAGAGCAAATATAATATTATTGACGTAACGAAAACTCTTATTGGATGCACATCAGAAGAATTCATATAGAGGAAAAAAGAGGTAACTCCTAATCTATACTACTATAAAAAAGAATTAGGATGTTAAAACTTTTAAATTTCTTTTTTGTCCTCTCAAATTTTGATAAATTCTATCCATGCCATTATCTCTAATTAATCTTTCATTAAATAAATATAACCACTTATTAATTATACACCCCTCACCTTCCTAAAAAATTATAATAATCAATAATATTATAACTACTAATTATTTAAAAATAATAAAATAAAATAATTTATAAAATAAGTATACACAATTTTTAGTAGTAACCAATTAAATTATTATAATACTTATTTATGAACTATAATAAAATAATTAAAATAATAGTATAAATAGAATAATATATTACTAATACTATTAAGATTTATACTATAATTCAATAAGCAATAAAATTAATAGAATAAATTTTGAATCTCATAAATAAATGTAATTATTTTAATAATATCACAAAATTACAAATTGCACTATTTATTTAGTATTATATTATTAAAAAATTAAATAAATAATTTAATATTATTTTTAGAGTATTTTCTCAAAGATTATACATGATACTGAATAATCAAAACTTGGTAATGATGGCTAACTAACGTTTTCACAAAATAATTATTTAATATTAATAATAATGCAATAATTGTTAATGACAGTATAATAAAAATTTATAAATTATTTATAGTACTAAATGATTTAAGAGCATAATTAAAAAAATTAAATTAGATAAATATTTATTGTGTATAGAAAGTATAATTATTTTAAAAGTATTACTTGAACTAATAATTATAATATTAAATAAGATAAATTACAGTAAACCCCTATGAACTTGTAGTATTTTGCAGTAAGTAGACCCTATAAACTTTTAAAATCACGCTAAACCCCTATTAACTTTTGCAGAAAGCCCCAATACCTTTTACATAAATTACCCCAAACCCTCAATAACTTTCAAAATGTCTTTTTATGTCATTTTATGGTTCTAATTTATAGGGGTTATCTGCAAAATTTAAAAATTTATTGGGCGTCTCCTTTGAAACAAATAATTCATTAGGGGTTTAGTGTAATTTTAAAAGTTCATATTGGCTGAAAGTTCATATGGGTTTAGTGTAATTTACCCTATTAAATAATTATAATGAGAAGCAACTATTACAATATGTTGTAGGTATCAAGTGTAACTATCTAGGGAATATTAGTAAAAAGCTAGCAAGATTAATGCATCTTAGTTAATTTAAAATTAAGTTAATAACTTTCAAGTTGGAGGGACATATTTAAGAGAACTTATAGAATTAACAGTTTTATCTAAGAACAATTTTAGAGTTGGGGACTTATTTAAAAAAAGATTAACAATGAGCGATCATTATAAGAAAAACATTCAATTACAATAACTACATAATAATAATAATTAATTCATACATTTCTTTTTAAGTAATCTTATTATACAATTTTATTTATTAACACATAGTTTTACTATTTAATAAAAAATTCAAAACTTTAAAAACATGTATGTTCACGTGCAAAACACGTGCATTATACTAGTATTATAAAAAACAGTGGATTTTCGGCAGAGAATTAAAAATTCCATGTTAACACATATAACAACTTGATACAAAAACCGAAGGCAAAATGTGTAAATGAACCATTAGACGACCACTTTTGTCAACAAAAAGGAAACAAAAAATTTAATTTCCACAGAAATAAAGAAAAATAAGTACATATAAATATTATTAGCACAATACCTTCATACGGTGACTGAGTCGGACCAAGAATCATAACATTGAAATAGCGCATGTTCTCCTCAGAAGGAGACGCACTAATCCCAGGAGCTACATCAAACAACAGCATCATACAATCAAAACCCTAAAACCCACAGCACAGAAAATCCCAAAAATCTAGCAAAACCCTAAACCACAAAATTCAACATAAAATCCATCAAATCCATCAAATCCAGCCTCGACTCATTACCCGGTTCGCTCAACAGCCGCTGCGTTTCCTGATTCAAGAAAAGAAAAAATTCGACAAAAAAAAAATCAAAACCCTAGAAACGAAAACGATGAACCAAACAAGGATCAGATCAAGAGATGAACCTTGATGATTCTCCGAGGCAGATTGCTGTTCGCCATCAGAAAGATCGATGGATCGATTGTCGAGACCTAGAGTTTTCTTTATTCTATTTTAAGGGTCGAAATCTAAAGACTAAAGAGGAAGAAAGGTCGATGCCTCAAAAGGGAAAGATCAGAAATGGGATCGACTTTAATAAACTAGAGCTTGATATTAAAAGCATATGGATGTGAGTTTTGTTTTCTTATATTTCACCCCCTCCATTTTATTTCATTTCTGCTAGCTCCCTGGATCGGTGCAATTATTGAAGGAAATGCTACTCTTTTCGCAGGGGAGATCTTATATAGGTATTGCATTTATATTCGTTTCTTCGTAGAAATTACGCGACCTTCCTTTTATCGTGACTGGGTGCGGTGCACGTTAGCGTCACGAACTAGACGGGGGCATTGGTGGATAAAGTTCCTTTACGGGATCTCTTGCATAGGGTTAATTTCATTGTCAACTTTAAGGATAATAATTGTATTGTATAATTTATATGCATAACTCGTCTGTAACAACTGCTACTAATTTTATTGATTTTATACTGATTTTCTTTAAAAGGATGAGCAAAGGATATTTTTTAAGAAAAAATGTGCTAGATTATTAGTAATAATTATTTTATTTTACAGGCTCTAAAAAAATACTTTGCGCTACGCCAATGTTACAAAATTTCCGTTGCCGGGACTTGAACCCGGGTCTCTCGGGTGAGAGCCGAGTATCCTAACCAACTAGACTACAACGGATTGGATGCGGAAAAATACAAATAATGCCCTGTTATCCTATATTTAGAAATCTTGGTTACCGTACAGCATTATTTCTCAATACCACATATACATTTAAATGTGTTTGCAATATGCTAAATACATTCCATATTTTCTCTTATTTTATAAATCAGCAATCTTTTCGCTTGAGCACCATGCCAAATTGTGAACTATCCATGCCTTGATCAAGCCTCTTAAACACAATGGCTCGATTTGGCAAAGCATTTTGAACCCCTGCACCATTAAATTAATAAACAACACTTCTTAAATGTAAAATAACATCAGTAGAAATATTCGAGTTCATTATAGAAGCTTACAATCGCCAAATGATGAAAGACCTCATAAATCAGGCCGAAACTCTAGGAGCGAATGAGATATGCAATTGCTATTAGATATTGATCATTTTGATTTTGAAGAGATGGAACAGCAATAGAGTTTGCTCCGGAAGCCTTTGCAGCTCTTACGCCAGCTCTAGTTGAGAACAATGTCATATATTTAGCAAGACCTATGGTGTGACATATTGTGGTAGCAAGAAATTCAGTATTTAAACTCATTTGCGTTGTGCATTAATGGAAGGATTACTTGTAATGATATCATTATAAAGTAACCATGAATAAAATCTTCGATCTGCAAAATGATATTAGTATCCATGAATCTTCGAAATCTATATATGCGGAAGAATTAATAGACAATTCAGTGAAATGAAGTACAAAGAAATGACATCCTTAAAGCTCTAGAAAATTCAAGTCGCTAACAAATCAATATTTCTTACCATCTAAGACAAAACTCTCATGTCAGGAGAAGGTTTTCGGCTGTTAACTTCATCTCCACCAAGAATGACTGATGAAAACATATCCTCCCATCCTTTGCGACAAAATATAAAATATAAAAAATCCAAAAACAAGACATAATACGATACGTAATAATTAAGCATCAAATTGTAATGTAATGTGGTAAAGGCCTCTTGCAGTTGCATGTGCAAGAAATCAAGATAACTTCGACACCTCTTGATCTGATCCCGAACAGAATGATAAAGATACCAACACAAAGGGGGAAAAGGAACATGTAATGTGGTAAATAAAATGGAGCTCCTGGTAATATATTAACAACCTTTTTTTTCTTTTTTGAGTAGAAATGTCTCCATTAAGGAATACTCAAATTAAGCCTACAAATAAGGGGAGAAATCCAACAATGACAAGGTATAGAAAAACTGAAGAGATACTTGGATAGAACGATAACCTTGTTGGTGAGAGATTTTTATCGCAACGTGCTTCTTTACGGAGTTTAAAAGCAAGTGCCAAGGAACACCATGGTTAATTATGAAGATGCCTGACAAGTTTATTAACACCTGGAAGTGGTTCAGCTTAATTCCACCTGAAGAAATAAAGCATACAGATTCGGCAGCCAAACCAGTTAATTTGTATATCCAAATGTAACCTAGCAACATCACTTTCAGAGTTTCATATTAAACTATGAACTGACTTTTCAAAGGCAGTCTTCACTTTGATGCCTTCACATATATAAGACTACCTAAGCAAAATCAAGGAGTCATGACAAATGAATATAAGTATTATACGCTGATAGTATGCTAAGTGCTATTACAGTATGTGCATCGCATGTGCGGTCCTAGATGAAGTTCTACTGATGTCCAAGATACATCCAGCATGCGAAGTTTTGGACAATTCATGGGATCCTATGATGTGTCTTACACTCGTAGGATCTCTCTCTTTCATAAGCAAGGGCACGCGTATATACTAATAATACTGGAATATGATTTGCTATTACAATATTGTTCTCAAAAAGTTTTTGTTTAGCATAGTAGTAGTACTAACACATGGCATATGTATGGTATGTTCGATATATTGAACTCCTTATAGTGGAAAGATCTTGAAGCTGAAAAGGAAAAGGTCTATACTACCATATATATGTTTAAATGTGAGCATGAATGCTTATCAAATCAAAAACATTCTCATATTTCAAAAGTTATAATGTTTATGTAGTATGAGGAGTTTTAACATGTGTAACTTTTTTTGGTGTTCCCAGCCATGTCATGTCGTTTTTAGATTTTTACCACGTTAGCATTTTTTTTAATATTATTTTCTTGCATGCCTTCAAAATATTAACAGATTTCAACAACATATCAGTATTTTCTATCACTCGTTATGCGCTTGCATGTTATGTGGTTAAAGTGGAATAAGAAAACGCCGAGGTCTTTATCATAAAATAACCCATTACTATATTCAAATTCCGCGCCCGTGCCTCTCTCCTCAATTATCAACATCTCCTCCTACTCTCTCCCAAAGCATCCAAAGTTAAAAATGAGCAAGAAATCAAACACGTGAAGAACGCCGATCCCCAAAATAATCCCTAATCCTAAATCCATTTCAAGCAAAATGAATTGAAAATAAGGGTTCAGTGAGTTTCTCGTGTTTCCCTTCTTATAATTACAATGCCCATTCTCTTCGATCCAAGATCCCAACCCCAAACCCTAACCCTGACCCTAGTCCCAAATGTACGCCGCCGCCGCCGTCGCTCTCTCCATTGCCAGCCCCAAATACCCTCACCGAACCCTA